AAAAAACAGACCGCTTTTTCCATCAAAAAAATTAAAAAAGAAAAGTTAGCGGTATTTCCGAACACTTTTTTTTAAAACGATGGACATGGAAAACTAGTGATATTGGAACTTCAAATAAGCCATTTTGTTCTGTTTTGAATGCTCTTTCCAATGATGTGTAATAAATTGCGATAAGAGAGAATCGGTAAGGATCGATTGCACGTCTCACTAAAACCAAGTTTTTTGAAGTGAAGACCAACTCTAAGAAGAAAACATTTTTTAGAAACAGATAAAGTGTGAAATTCTCTATCGACTGGTCTATGTTTCCTTCGTTTTAGAGTAAATCTCTTTGTTAGGAAATGCAAAATATTGGAAAGCACTTAAATTTATTCATGCAGAGAAAAATCATTTTCATTATATAAAATCTATTTTGATAGAATGTAGTTCCTTTCTATTTTAGTGTATTGTGTAGTCTGCATCTCATACTATCTAAATCACCATTTTGATAAGACCCTTATACTATAATAATGTGAAAGAAAATTTAAAAAAATAAACACATGAAAAAGTTGAAAAATACAAATTCGCTTAAATTTTTGTCCTCGACTGTATTTATTGTGGAATTTCAAGTGAAGTATTTCAATCGATTTTTAATTTGCTATATTTGTTTGACTGTTTCAATAAGCTAGAACATGGTTTTTCTTAAAAACTAATCAAAACAAAATATAATTTTTGTCTTTTGAATAAATACTGCTGTTGTTGTTGTTTTGTTTTTTGAAAAAATTATTCGTATGTGGTTAACTTAAATAAAAAATAAACAAACAGATTGGTAAACAAGATAGTTTGTTTTTATATCTTATAGAAAAACAAAATTATTAAAAATAAATTGATGATTTTCGATATATATATATTTTTTTATTATTTTCAATAAAAAATTAACGAAAAAAAACATATTACATCGATTCATTTTTCAAATATCAAAAATGTATATAGGAATTTTCTTTTTTTTTTGCTTAGAAAAATATTTATTTTTGATTGGATAAAATCAAATATCCAATCATTGATGATGAGAAGCGCTACATTCATCGTCAAAATTGAACTATTGAGCATCTATTCTTATCATTGAATGATTTGTACATAGTTTATCAACCTAATTATTTACAAAAATTGAAATAAATAATATTTATTTAATGAAATTTATTTGATTTTTTCTATTATTTTTTTCTATGAATGTTAAAGAATTATTTGAACATCATTGAACGCACAGTGCATTATACGAACAATTTATGTAGAGGACCAAGAGTCGGACAAATGTTTTCTATTCCAAGGTTAATAACATTCAACGAAACAACGTTACCAGCAGCCGACTGTCTATTTGTTCAAGGCAATTGCGATAGGAAAAAAAAGAAAAGAAAAGACCTACTACTTCACATTTATACATAAATAGTTGATTACTATGAACATAAAATGGATCTATTCCATTTTTTTTTTTCATTTAATAGTACATATATTAATAGGATGAAAAGAAAGGAGATGTTCAGCTTGGAAGGGACCTTGATTTAGAAGGTCATTGAAGGTCGTAACAAGGTTGCTGATAGTAGAATATAGCAATCAATGCGATAACGATATGCCAAATATCAATTAAATGTTGTACTCTTGTTCAACCTATTCTAATTCTTTCTTTTTTTTTTAGATGTTTGCCCTTAAGACATTTACCAATTTATGTACTACTCAATCAAGTAAATAAATTTTATATATTAATTTAAATTTTTGATTTATTTTATTTTTTTAGTTCTTCAAAATTCAATACGTACGGCAAAAGTATTTAAACCAAATTTACTTCTTGCAAAATATCGTAATATTAAAGTAAAAGATGGTCAATGGGTTGAAAAAGATACTATTCTTACTTTACAGAACAATCTTGTTTTATATCCTGGCGAAAATGTAAATAAAAATATTTCTTTAAAAAAATTATTATTATTATACTTTTATATTAATTAGACATCTGTCGCTTATGATTATACAATTCGATCAATAGTACCAGGATTTGTTGTAATAACAACTGAATCTATAAAACCATATCCACATAGTCCATTATTTCGTTATATTAATAGTGGAAATGATGTTAAACGAAATTTTATACATGTTTTACCACCACAACGTCAAGCAACTTTTCATCTTATTGATCAATTATAGTAATCGATTGAAAAATGAGTTTCTTTCAATGGTAGGATAAGAAAAAAAAAGAATCATCGTTGTAGATCAATGTTGTTTTGTTTTGTTTTTTTTCTTTTTTCTTTTTTCTGCTGTTGTTATTGTTCACCTTTACATATATATATATATATATTTATAACTATAGCTTGATGTAAACGTCTTTGATATAATGTGTCAATGTTGTTTTGTAGATTGTGGTATAATATACAACAAATTCTATTTTTAGTCATAATGAATTCAATATTTTAAATGTGAATAAATATGTATCAATTTATTATCAATTTGAACAGTATTTCTTATTAATATTAAAATTAATTATTATGACTGTTGTTATTCAAACACGTGATCGTTGTCGTATTTGTTTTTCATTACTTTTACGTGATCGTTCAATATGTTGTCAAAAATCTTATGATTTATTTAAACATATTGAACGACGAAAAATTCCATTTAATAAATTAAATTCATATCAAATTAAAATACGAAATCAAACTGTTTGTTTTCATGATTTAATTTTACGTTATTTACATACACAAATACATCAAACAAGAAATTTTTCAAATTTAATATGTTATAATTGTTCAATAATATTATTAGATATTGAACAATGTGCTAAATATTTACATAAAAAAATTAATCAAGTTAAAATTAAATTAAATAAAACAAATCGTCTTCGAACATCATCATTATCAGCAACATTTCAAAAGAAAAAACAACAAACAACAATTATTAAACAAGAACAATTACCTATTATTAATTCAGATTCTGATGAAGAATTTGATAATATTGATGATGAAGAGGTTTGTTATATTAATAAGAGATTTCTAAT